TTCTATCCAATTAAGTGGCCTGGAAAGTTTTTTGCCCCAGAAGTTCCCTGTTTTTTTTTTTAAGTTGAAATTCAACTCATCTGCCCTGAAGACTCTGTGGTGATTGGAGGACTAGAGAAATAAATGACATCACAAGAGTCTAGAGAGAAAACTGAGCAACAGAAAGGTGGAGGGAAAGCTTTTTAGTTGTAGGCAAGAAGAGGGTGGTTCATTAACAACTTCAAGGACTAGTATTTGGAAAAGGACATCTATTAGATATTTAAAACATCCCTACTGCTTCAATTAAGATGCAAGAACTGAAAATAAACATCCTCTGAGATCTCCAAGGAGACCAAGGTGAACCAGGAAGTCAGATTTGATGTGTTTGATGTTTCTAAGGCTAAAGGAGTTTTTAAATCCTCTCAGGTGTCTCTTGCAGGTCGCCTTTGGCAGATTACAATGCCCTAGTGGCACCCACTAGATAATACTCTGCCTCCCAAGAGTCTGGGAGGCTCAATCCATTAGTGCAATTCATGGAGAGAAGGAACTATTACAGGACAAAAATATGATTAGGAGGCCAGTAACATATGCTGCCTCAGCCCACAGCTCTAGGGAGCTTGAAACTATTGTACCAGTCAGTGAAACAAAGCTGATTAATCACAGGAATGAACACACCAAACTTTCTGCAGCATAAGGACTCTCTCTCTTTGTAGGTGAGTAACTTCAGCTGCACAAGAAGACAGGCAGCATTTGGGACATTCCATTAGGACAATAACTGTGCTGCAGAAGGGTGGAGAGCAGTTAGACATCCTGCAACAGCTTCCTAATTCAAGACTCCTTCCTCTCCGCTAAAGAGGCTCCTAAATTCACATTTTTCATAAAGACTTTCAGACACAAAACTCACTAGACACCCTTCTTATTCAGTTTTGTATCCATTGCTAAGGCCTTTAGACTAAGATTTTGGGAGCAGCCTTTATCTGCCTGCACAGGTCCCCTTTATGGTGCCATATACACTCACATTCTGTAAGCAGTAATAAATGATTTGCCTGTTCAGAAAGGTCCACTTTTGTAAATACTAAAGTCCTGCCCTTCTTTCTGGGATTATTCATAACCATTATTGTTTAGGCAGATCCCAAAAATTCTCACCTGCAATGCATCTATAACCCATGTTACCCATTGTCCTTACTTCCCGATCCATAAAGGATGGAAATGCAGCCAGTCTATTACAACTCTCAGCTGGCGAACCTAGCTCTTTAGCTCAAATTGTAGAGATTTTCACTTTTAGCTCTGGAAGCCTTATTTAAGCCAAGATGCCAACCACTACTCACCACAAATGGGATTGCTCACGCAACAAATACTTTGTAATCCCTGAAACAGACAAGCAGGGCAATACCTATTGTTAATTACAGAACATATAAAAGCAGCTGGAGCATACCTGCTAAGGGTAGCACAACAGAATATTTGATTTCAGAGCAAATGAGATTATGATGCCTTATCCAATATCCTCACTGGCTTCACAATAACTGGTCCATGCAATTTTGCAATCCTCTCCCAGGAAGACAGTATCATATGGTAGGACAATCTTGAGTACGGAAGTAGAATTTGGAGCCTGTGTCCACCCAGACCCAGCACACAGGACTTTAGCGGGCTCTTGCACAAGCCACAAGGCTCTGAATCTTCACTAGGAACACCAGACATGACATTTCCCAATAAGGGGATTCCATTCACTTAGAACAATGTTTTCACACTTGTATGGCTTGGATACATAAAATCCTAATGGCCACTCACCAGCCAACAACCTGCCCCAGAGTTCTCTACTGTGTTGACAGAGTCCACAATCCTGTGTAGTCCATCCCACCTTAAATCCTGTCAAACCATTCACTTGCATAATGGAGTCCCAAGCGGGAAATAGATGTCAGCACTATGCTTGGCTGCCATAGAGATGTTAGGCCTCTCTTCACTGCATAGGAAAGGAAGGAAACAATCTTCACAAGAACAAGTGCAGACAAGCCACGGACAGGAGCAAGCTCTTAGGTAAAAGTCTCAGCAGGCACAGAGTGGGGAGAACAGCAGGCCAGTCACTCCCACATTTATCTTTTCCCTCAAACTTTAGCTTAGAAGAAGGCAAGAGGATGCTTCAGGGAACACAATCTCTTCTGCTGAAGTAGATATTAGGAATATAGGAGTTGCCAAAACAAAACAGACTGTTGGTTCATCTTCTAGGTGATAGTTTGTCAGTGAAGAATGTCTGATGCTTCATAGTCAGGTAATCCTTTGACACAAGGTGTACCTAGTTGTGCAATGCACTAGAGGAAATTCCATTTTGACCCCACCCAGAGATCAGATCACACCCAGAGACAAAAGAATCCCGTGCTCTAGTCATTTTACTCTCTGCAGAGCAGTTTCAAATGCTATTCCTATTACAAACAGAAAAGTTTTGGAGCTCTTGTAAGACTTTACTTCTCAGCTACATTTGAATTCCAGAGTGGGTTGGAAGAATGTTAGGGTTTTGTATGCAACTTATTATACTAGTATCTTCATTAGACTGGCAGTGGAATAGTTCCTAGTGAGCTTCATTGAGTCTCTAGTTCAGCTTCTGTTTTGGAAGGCAGAAAACCTCTGCTTGGGGTAGAGATTTATTTTTATTTTGGGGGGCGGGGGAACGAGGCTCAGGAGCTCATAGGGAACTTCAGAGAACAAGTACAAAAGTTCACCTCCCCCAACAAAAAAAGGTCTCAGAGCTTGGGAAGTGCAACAGGCAAAAAATACGTAGTTGGCACAGAAAGTGGACAAACTGGTTAAAGCATTTGGGCCAGGATAGCTGCACTTGTTGCTGTTTCTGCTGAGGAGTCTGACCCCTTCTGCCACAGGTAAGGACAAGCCATAGATGGTCTGTGCTCTCAAGGCACACACAAAACCTGGTGGTGAGCACCCAGTACACAAACATCCCATACTTGTTGATGCGCTAAAGAGGAGATGATAGTCCCAGGGGTTTTATGTAGTTACCAGATAGTAAAAACAGGTAGGTTAAAAAGAACTGCTCCTCTTACTCCCCCAAAACAGATATTTCTCAGCCTTCCCACCACCACAGATCCACCCCTCAGCCCTAGAAAGACCAAATGCAACATCAGTGGCCATAGTTAAGCCAGGACAGGAGTGGTGGAAGTTTCTGCAGCACATAATTCTAACTTGTCACCCCGAGTTCTGGGAGTCAGGAATTTACAATACGAGGAGGATGTCCCCAGCTGATGGGAGGGGAATGCCTAAGAAGGGGCAGAAAACCAAAGGGTCCAGCTGGACCTGAGGAATGGGTAGCACACTGAAGAGGCCTATTTGTTTTGGGAATGGATACAGGAGTCCCTATTTCCATGGACACCTCCCCAGACAGTCTAGTGGGAGTTGGGCTAAGGACTGGATGGGATCTAGGTGGTCTGCTGCTGTTTCAATACATTTATCTTAGGAGACTAGTGGCAGCTAGTTGGATAGGGAGAGGTATCAATACTATGAAAGTACCTCCCCACTGTCCAGTTGGCAGCGGGCAGTCAGAGGGTGCCTATCCCTTTAACAGAGGCTCTGCCAGACTCCAGGGCCTGCAGCTCCGGTTTCAGTGTGGGAAGCGACTCCGCATGGAGTCTTCACAAAGAGGCCCTGTCCCTTTCTCCCCCGCCCCTTCCCTGGCTGTAAAGCAGAGAAGCCTGCTTCAAACAAAAGGGGGGGGGGTCCCACAGAGAACCCACCCTAGGAGTCTCCGGGGGAGAAGAGACAGGAGGGAAGCAGGTGACTGAGTAGAAGCGCAGGCACTAAGGGACGTTCTGGGGAACCTTGTTCAGATGCAGACATGCGAGTTCTGAGCCCGGGAGTTGAGGTGGGGGTGGTGTCTGAGATCCCCAGCCAGGGGCAGGCAGAGGGGTGGGTTGCCTCAGCAGCTGGGATGTAAGGACAGATCAGCCTTAGGTCTCCAACTAACCTCTTGGCTAAATGCTTCCATTATACCTAGGGTAACCAGATGTCCCGATTTTATAGGGAGAGTCCCTATATTCCAGGCTTTGTCTTATCAGTACGGGGAAATAGGCGTCTATATTTTTCCGCTTGCTAGGGTCACCCTCATTATACCCGTCTCTTGGCAGCTGACCCCCTAGCGGGGCACCTTTGGGGCCGGACACTAACAGGACACCGCCAGGGCCGCCAAGAGGATTCAGGGGGCCTGGAGTCTTCGGCGGTGGGTCCCGGGGCGGAAGGACCCCTTGCCGCTGAAGATCCGGAGCGGAAGAAGCTCCAGGGGCCCGGGCCCCGCGAGAGTTTTCCGGGGCCCCCGGAGCGAGTGAAGGGCCCCGCTCCAGGGGCCCCGAAAAACTCTCGTGGGGGCTCCTGCGGGGCCCGGGGCAAATTGCCCCACTTGCCCACCCACCCACCCCCGGCGGCCCTGGACACCGCTCCCAGGCCGCTCCGACAGAGGGGATGGTGGGGCTCCACTCCCCAGAGCACAGCAATAACCACAGAGCCTGCGGCGCACATACCAGCGGCCGATAGCCCAGCCTAGCGGAGGAGAGCGAAGTCCCTGCCAAGGGATGGAGGGTTCAGCGCAGATCCGAACGGCGGCGCCTCCTGTCCCCTACCCACAGCGGCTCCTTCCCCCCATGGCACTAGGAAACTTTTACCTTTAAAACGCCAGCTCACTTGCCATTAAGTGCAGCTCCCCCGCGCGCTGCCTCCCACCCAGGCGGGGCCGGACTACCCCACCTCCACTCCAAGCAGCGCCGAACAGGCCGGGCTAAGCCGCCAGCGCCCTGGGAGCTCTGGTACTTACTGGAAAACAGGTCCGGAAAGAGCCCGGGGGAGCGCCCTGTTTGGGGGTGCGGAGTGGAGAGACCCCAGAGGGGAGGGAAGCCTAAGGGGCCTCTGCTCTGCCTTTCGCCAGGGCGAGGGAACGAACCGATAGGAGCCCCGCTCCGGCAGCTCGGAGAGAGTTAAGGCCACCCCCGTCCCAGTGCAGTCCGGAGGCAGATTACTTTGCATCTTACCTCTCGAGTTGCTACCGTAGCGACTTCGGCTCCAAGCCCTGGTGCAAGGGAGTCCCGCTCGGCAGCGTCCCAGAGCGTTCCCGCTGCAGGCTGCCCTGCCTGCGGTGGGGCGAGTTGCAGATCGGATTGTCTCACAGCTCTAGCTTTGCCCCTTGCTCTAGCAGCTCCCCACCCTTATTTCAGGCTGCAGGACACAAGGGCCCCCGCCCCGCCTCCCAGCGCGAGGAGCTCCCAGCTGGGCGGACCCAAGCAGCCCCGGGGATTCCAAAGGAGTCTCGCTGGTGGCGGCTGGAGAGTAGATGCTAAGGCCTGGGACAGCGGGAAGGGAGTGCAGGCTGGAGCAGCGCCAGGCGGGGAGACAGCAGGACTCTCACCACGTTCCTAGAGCTCTTGATCCAATTAGTCTGCTGTCACTGCGGGATGAGCCAGGCCGCTGCCCGACAGCAGGTGGGGCTGTGCTGTCCACACTGAGGATAAGAGATAAGAGCAAAACCACGTGCCCAGAGTGGACAAGAGCAGCAGGGGGTGGTGCTATTCCTAGGGGAGGCCCAGCAGCCGCTGGCACCGGAGCGTGGTTAGCCATAGTTCTTAACGTTTAAACAGGTTTAGTTTGCTTTTTTCCACTTCTGTTCTTTAAGAGCTGGGGAGAGCAGGAGGTGACACTGCAAACAACCTCTTGAGTTTAGCTACAACAGTGCCCCAAGTCTCAGCTGGCCCAGGGACCTGGAGCTCTGCTGTGAGGGGGCTCACTTACTGGAGTCTCAGCTGGGACCTGACAGTTCAGTGAGAAGCCAAAATTTGCCTGAGTCTGGGCTAGGCACTGCTCTGAAGAAACTCACATTACTAGAATCTCAGCTGGCTACTGGTGGGGCACTACTGGGGGAAGATCACATATCTGGAGCTGACCATCAGTAGGGAGGAATCTGGAATATGAGTCTCTTTCTGCTCTACTCAACAGTTTTTCACGTCTTTCAGCTAGGTTCGCTAACCCTCCACGATTGCCTTGAAGTCTCCAGGAATTAAAAAAAGTAATCTTTAATTAAAGATTATGTCAGGTGATTAAACCTCCAGGAATGTGTGCAGCCAAAACTGGCAACCCTATTTTCAGCCAATTAGCTGATCTGCAGGAGCAATGAATCAATCTGGCTGGCTGTAGGGAGACCAAGGACAGGTCTGGGAAACTCGTATGTTGTTGTTATTTCCCCTTCTCCCCCGTCTCCTCCAAAAAAGCGGAAAAGCCGTTCCCTATCCTCTTGCCATAGTTTACCTCTCTCTCTCCCTAGTGCAGGGACACAGGAGTTTCGCCATCGCCTTCTTTGGCTGCTGTTTGTCCGCATACCCGCTCTACCTAACTCATTAGGCGTCAGCAACGTTCTCTCTCCTTTTATCTGAAAATGCCATCAGCTCTTTCTGAACAATTCAGATCCTTAGTGCTTTTATGTCCCTAAACTGGAGATCTTGTGCAGCCTCGGCCCTCCACGCTCTAAGTACCAAAGTTTCTGTGCCGCAAAGCAATTGACCGTGATATGACGTGAGATTTTAGGGCAGGCAGTGCAGGTGCTAGCCCATTGGGGGATCCAAGCAGGAATATTTCCCCCTCCTCCCAACACATACTAATAATTAATAGGGGGTCTCCCAGAGCTGCTTGAGGACCTAAGCAATTGCTTAGTCTGTTTTTGCCTAGTGCTGGCTCTGAAGGCAGGTTTTACATTTTGGGAGTCGATGAGCCTTGCTGCCCCATCTCCTATAATTTGTTTCTCACTAAATTATTTGGGACTCAAACAGCAGGACCAACTACGGGTTCCCAATGACGTTCATTCAATAAAAGTAAAGATAAAAGACTGAGGACCTTAAGGCTGGAAGGAAAGGGCATGCCCGCCCTGACAGCTCAGCCCAGGAACCTTAAGAATCTGTGTTATTTGGTGCTGATTGTTTGGCGTGTGTTCTGATGTCTGTAGATACCTGGGATTGACTGATTGATTAACAACAGTTGCGTCAGGTTTCCTGGGAGCTAGAGGTAACTCCTGCATCATAGGGCCCTTCTGAGATGCAGACTCTAGAAAAGATAATCGGATACCTTTTTGTTTCCTTTACTCTGATGTTTATATTTAACTTGAATGGTCACCCTGAAAGGGTCCCACACATGGGACCTGTGGTTTCTGATCTGTTCTAAGGCACATTCTTTCCCCAAAGAGTGTTTAAAAATCCTTACCCAACCTTAAGTTAGCTCCAGGGGAAATAATAGATAGCAAATGGATTTCCCTTTTCATATTTTAATTAAAAAAAAAAAGAGGGTTGATCAACTTTCTTCAGCATAGTGTGATGCTCACTCATGGCTCCATTAAATTCCAACATTTTCGTCAAATTACCTACTCTAATAACTCTACATGTGTTTCCAAAGTGTGAAAAGGGCAGAAACCTTGGGTAATTGTCAGAGGAGGGTACAATGTATTCCGTGTCTGTGCAGGATTGTGATCTCAGTACTCCCAGCTAGTACACACACTAGTGTGTTTGGGTTGTGATCTCAGTACTCCCAGCATTTGTCCAGGATGGGAATTAATTTTTTGTTTGGAGTTTGGACCCGTGTCCATTTGTCAACACTGTCCATTTCTGATTCGGTGGCATGATGCTACGTAGCTACCTTTATTTCTGCTCTCTTTTTCCTTTCCTCTGGGGCAGGAGTGGCTCAATGGGGGAAGAATGTCCAAGTATAGGAGGAGATCAGAGAATGTTAGATGTTATCACTGACATTTTGTTTCCCTGGGATAGGAGCTGCTTGATAGGTTTGGGTCTTAGGACAGATAGGTATCTCTACTGTCTCTTTTCTTTTCCCTAGAGTTACACCCAGCTTTTCCTCATTGTTTTTAGTGGAATACATACTTGCTTCCCTATACTGGCCTAAATCGAGTTGCTGTGATGTTACTGTGGGCATGGCTACATTTGCAGATGTAGAGCACTGTGAGTTAAACCCGCCTTCAGAGAGCGCAGTAGGGAAAGCGCTGCAGTCCGTCCACACTGACAGCTGCTTGCGCACTGGCGTGGCCACATTTGTGGCACTTGCAGCGGCACTGGGAGCAGTGCATTATGGGCAGCTATCCCACAGAGCACCTCTTCCCATTCTGTCGCTGTGGCTTGTGGGAAGGGGGCGGGGGGGGCGGGGCATTCTGGGTCCTGTCCCAATGCCCTGTAATGCATTGGTTCGCATCCCAGCATTCCCTGTGCTTCCGTCCACATTTGGCGCCATCTTTCAATGTTTTTTGTACTGCGCGCTCTGTCTTCCCTTTCAGTCTGCGGGAATAGAGCCCGAACTGCTGAGGAGTATGCTGTCGAGTCTCGCCAGCACATCACATTTGGCAGTCGAGTTATTCCTTAGGATCCAAAGTGACAGTGAGGGCTCTGACGATGATTGTGACTCGAGTAATGCATACAACACAAGTTTGATTGTGACATTCACGGACATGCTCACCACCATGGAACGCTGCTTTTGGGCTCGGGAAGCAAGCACTGAGTGGTGGGATCACATCGTCATGCAAGTCTGGGATGAAGAAAAGTGGCTGCAGAACTTTCAAATGAGAAAAGCCACTTCCATAGGACTGTGTGAGGAGCTCGCCCCCAACCTGTGGCACAAGGACACGAGATTGACAGCTGCCCTGCCAGTGGAGAAGTGGGTGGCTATTGTAATCTGGAAGCTGGCAACTCCAGACAGCTACCGATCGGTTGCTAACCAGTTTGGAGTGGGAAAGTTGACCGTTGGAATTGTGTTGATGCATTTTTGCAGGGCCATTAATCGCATCCTGCTAAGAAGAACCGTGACTCTGGGTAACGTGCAGGACATTGTGGATAGCTTTGCACAAATGGGTTTCCATAACTGCGGAGGGGCGATAGATGGCATGCATATTCCAATTCTGGCACCAGCCCACCTAGCCTCCAAGTACGTTAATCGGAAGGGGTGGTTCTCCAAGCGCTTGTGGATCACCATGGGTGTTTCATTGACATTAACGTAGGCTGGCCGGAAAGGTGCATGATGAAGGCATCTTTCGGAACAATGGCCGTTCAGGAAGCTGCAAGCAGGGACTTTTTTCCCAGACCAGAAGATCACCATAGAGGAAGTCGAAATGCCCATTGTGATCCTTGGAGACCCCGCCTACCCTTTAATGCTGTGGCTCATGAAACCCTACACAGGGAGCCTTGACAACAGCAAGGAGTGGTTCAACAACAGGCTGAGCCGGTGCAGAATGACTGTGGAGTGTGCTTTTGGCTGTTTAAAGGGCCGCTGGTGCTCTCTGTATGGGAAGCTGGACCTGGCCAATGACAGCATCCCTGCGGTTATATCCGAGTGCTGTACCATCCATAACATTTGTGAAGGGAAGGGTGAACGATTCACTCAGGCATGGAACTTGGAGGTTCAACATCTGGGGGCTGAATTTGAACAGCCAGAGAGCAGGGCCATTAGAGGGGCCCAGTGTGGGGCTGCAAGGATTAGGGATGCCTTGAGGGAGCAATTTGAGGCTGAAAGCCACCAGTAATGTCTGGTGCCCTGCACGGGAGTGAAGTGCAGTGGTTCCAATGTTAGTAGGAATCTGTGTTTGCTACGCTGACTTGCAGTGCCTGTTTCTTTCCTAGGCTAAGGTATCTTTTACTTTATGCAACAATAAAGAATGTTTTCAAAGCCAAAAAATCCATGTATTGAAAAGAAAATTAATTTATTGAAAAGAAACACAACTGCTTGGGAAACAGAAAGGGCAAGGGGGTGGTATGGGGAACGGTACAATCAGGGCCGGCTTTAGGAAGTGCGGGGCCCGATTCGAACAGTTTCGACGAGGCCCCGACAGGGATGACTAAAAAAACAAACACGTAAAAAAAACACGTGGGGTTTGTACTCACCGGGCGGCGCTCCTAGTCTTTAGCAGCGGGTCCTTCACTCACTCCGGGTCTTCGGCGGCACTGAAGGACCTGCCGCTAAAGTGCCGCCAAAGACCTGGAGCGCCGCCAGGTGAGTAAAAATTAAAAAGGTGCCTCTAGCCAGGGAAGGGATTCTCTGCCACTTGCCCCCCACTCTGGGCGGCCCTGCCACTGGGCGTGGGGCCCTCTTAGGCACGGGGCCCGATTCGGGGGAATTGGTGGAATTGGCCTAAAGCCGGCCCTGGGTACAATCACAGATTTGCTTATGTCCTGTCTGGAGTGCTGTGCAATGATTGCTGCACTTCAGGATGTCTATACTGCATGGTAATGGGGGTTGAGTGCAGAGGGTAAGGGTCATAGTTTTCAGGGCTGGGTGGTGAAGCTACAGGTGTTGGAGGCAGCTGGTGGCAGTAAGAACCCAGATTTTGGGGAAAGTGAGTTGGA